GACCACACCTGAGAGCTGGGTCCTGTGGGGTTGCCACACAAGGTGGCAATGAGCATATTTTTCCAGACTCCTCACAAGTCTCTTAGTCCAGCTGGCCTGTTTCTGCCTCCCAGCTTCTTTCCCAGCTGATGGAGGGTACAGGAGGAACTGGCCTGGAAAAGGGGGTTGTAGAGAGTAAGATGAGGCAAGGTGAGGGTACCACAGAGCTCTTGTGCCCCTAACCTTCCTGGAATAACCCTTGCTTCCTTTCCGTCTGCAGTTCAGCCAGGCCCTGGCCATCAGGAGCTATACCAAGTTTGTGATGGGGGTAAGTTCCGCCTAGTGCTTTAAGGGTCAGGGTGGTCTGGAGGCAGGTCTCACTGGGCCTGTGGGGGACCTTGGGGGGGGGCAGCAAGGGCCATACTGGCACTGAGGCCTGTCTGTCTTTCAGATAGCAGTAAGCATGCTGACCTACCCCTTCCTGCTTGTTGGAGACCTCATGGCTGTCAACAACTGTGGGTATGTGTGTACCCTTCCACCTGGCCCCCTACCAAGGCTGCTGGGACATCAGAGGAGCCCTTCCAGCCCCTTTGCCTACATATAATTTCCTGTGGGGTGGGCATGGGATACGGTGCCTCTGAGTTCTCCCATCCTTGTGTCTGAGGACCCCTGTGCTCCCTCCACAGGCTCCAGGCTGGACTCCCTCCTTATTCCCCTGTGTTCAAATCCTGGATCCACTGCTGGAAGTACCTGAGTGTGCAGGTGGGCATGCTGGGGCAGGGGCTGTCCCTGTGGCTTCAGCTGCCCCAGAGGAGGAGGGGGAGGAGCATGGAAGAGCCGGTGTGTGAGGGTGGATGGATGGGAGACACCTGCTCTTCGGCATTTACATGGTCACCTTTCAGAGAGGCACTGAGTAGTCCCAGCTCTGGCTGAGGGGAGACAGTCATTTGAGGCTGAAGCTCAGGGCCTGGGCAACAGTGAAAACCTGTGCCTTTAAAATGAACAAAGGCTGTACCTCCTTTGGAGGTGGGAGGTGGCAGAGACCAGGAACTCACTCCTCCTATAACAAGGGTGTCTGAGATGCATGCAGCCAATCTCCTCTGTAGGATCCTCTGGGCCTGGGGGATGTTCAAAGTCCACTGGGTCTGATGGGAGTCAGACAGGGACAGTCTTGTCTTCTGGGGCTCAGTACTGAAGCCTCCTGCTGGCTATAACTTTTGGGAGCCAGTAGCCAGGGACCAGGCTCTTGGCCTCCCTTTGCTACCAATCATATGAGGTACTGGCCTGAAGAAGAGAGCCAAGAGTGCTGAGCAGCCTCAGGTTGAGAATAGGTGTGATGGGGGCCAGTGAGGTGGCTGAGTGGGTAAAGGTGCTCTCTGTGTAAGCCTGACGGCCCGAGTTTAATCCCAGAATCCACAGCAAGGTGGAAAGAGAGAACCTGCTCCAGAGTCGTCTTCTACCCTCCACATGTGAGCCCTAGCAGGTGTACTCTCGCCCCATCATGAATACGCATACACAATAACAGTAAAAACAAATCTTAAATCTTTACTAGGAGGGAGAAAGGGCATAAGGCTGGACAAAGTTCCCTCCAGCACCACCAGTCAGGCTCAGGCTGCTAGGCGTCTTAGTCCCCCCTTGGGGGGGGGGTTGGAAGAGCAGCAAGTCTCCTTTGGAGCTTTCCTGCAGGGTTGGGGATGGGGTTCCTACTCAGCCTTAGGCATTGTTTTGAACCCACCAGTATCTTGCATGTGCTAGCTAGGTACTACTGAGCCAGATCCATCCCCCATCTCCCTTTTTGTTTTGTTTTATTTGGTTTGGTTTGGTTTTGGAGGCAGGGTTTCTCTGTGTAGCCCTGGCTGTCCTGGAACTCTGTAGACCAAACTGGCCTCAGACTCACAGAGATTGTCCTGCCTCTGCCTCTGGAGTGCTGGGATTAAAGGCACTTGCCACTGCCACCCAGCTTCCACCCCCATCCCCCGCCCAGCTTCCATCTCCCTTTTTCCTTTTATTTTTAGACAGGGTTAGACTAAGTTGCCCGGGCTGGCCATGAACTTGTCTTGTGGCCCAGACAGGCCCTGAATTGGTCCTCTTGCCTCAGCATCCTATGGTTGAGTTTATGGGCCTGAGCCTCCAGGGTGCTGGTACAGACAAACCCTGTCCTTGCTGGCATGGTTGTGCCTTCTCCCTTTATACCCTTTCATGTGTGGCCCTGGGTCTCTGAGCCCCTGGCCTCTCTTACTCTGAGGAAGTGACCTGGCTGCACCAACCACCTCTCTTCCCCTGCAGGGCCAGCTCTTCCGTGGTTCCAGCCTGCTTTTCCGCCGGGTATCATCGGGTTCATGCTTTGCCCTGGAGTAACCTAAGTCGCCTGACCGAACATTTATGGGGTCCTGGCCTCTATCCCTGGTGAGGGCCCGTCATCTCAGACGCCTGAGGGACTCTAGCCCAGCCTGGCTTCATGTCCATATTTGCCATGTGTCTGTCCAGATGTGGGGCTGCTGGTGGTGGTTCACCTGGGACCTGGGAAGCTGGGTGAGCAGTGTTGGGGAGGAATCCCCTTCCTGTCCAGAGGTACAGCAGAAAAAGTCTGTGGGGGCGAAGGTCAAGGGAGGCAAAGGCTTACAGGATCAGGTCCCTCCACCTCCAGCCCAGCTATCCTGCCACTCAGCCAGAAGCTCCCACCCCTGCTTTGTATCCAAGGCACCATCAAGCCTGCGCCTGTGCTAGGAGGGCTAGCCCTGTGTCCTGCCCTCGTTCACAACACTACTTTTCTGATATAAGGGCAGTGCCTTCTCCTGATTGGGAAATCATGTGACTCCTCAGAATATCCCCCTCATCCGCTCGTGTGTAATGGTGACACCAGGTATGAGGGCTCTGTCACCTGTACAGTGTGTGAATCCGCACAGGTGACACAGGCCAATATCTAGTCCTCCCTTCATGGTAAGATATGACCCCATCTCCTCAAATAAATGTATTGGTAGTGATTTGGACTCTTGTGGGGTCTCTTTTTCTGTGAGCTTCACCAGACCCTGTGCTGGTGTCTGAGGTCTCTGGACTGCCAGCCTGGGCCCAGAGGTATGTGGCATGGTCAAGCCCTCCTACGTCCTCAGGGTTGAGGCTGAGGTGTCTCTTCACAGAGCAGCAACTGGCACTTGGGCTTTCTGTCAGGAAGGTGGCAGCTGTTTCAGAGAGTGCCACCCAAGCTACCAAGTGGCACCTTGGCATCTTTTGAAGGTGACTGTTTTCAAGTCTTCAGAGCTTTCTGGTACAGCAGCCACATGGTCAGGACAGAAGGAAGTGGCCATGTGTGCCCTCCCTCCAGGGGTCTGGCATGTGAGAGTTCCAGTCTGCTGCCTTTTTTTCTCATTTCTTCTCAGGTAAGTCCTGGGGCATTCCCAGGAGGCTTTGGCAATCTGTTCTCCAGTCATCTAGTGGTAGGCACGCAGGACAGTTCTGCTCTGAGTTTAATGCCCAGCATTAAAGGCTTGGTGGGCCCTGTGCACTCTCATAATTGATTAATTTACACTCCCTTTGCTAGAGAGACTCACCCAGGCAGCTATGATCTGGGATGTTGTCCACATCACATTGTGAGCATTGTGTTTAGATCAGTGTCCTGAGGATGTCAGCCCAGAGCTCCGCCACCACATTGACCACAATGCTAGGTGACTTTTCCTTGCCCTCCTTCAAATCATGTCTTTGTATGGGTCCTTCCACTGAACCCCAGATTTAGGGTAGTTGAGCTGTCCCTAAAGAGATGCCCTTACCCCTGAACCATAGCCTCCCAGAGGTTTGTAAGAGGCTGTCCGGCCTAATGAGTGAGGCTTTGGTGAGTCTGACCACTTGGCACAGGAGGCCCTGTTGTTCCCAGATACTATCCTGGGAGTAGAGAGGGAGACCTTATCTGTTTAGAGGTTTGGTGGTTTTGAGCAGGGCATAGGACAGCAGCTGAGCTGCCTGGGGGAGGGGTGGCTGGAGTGGAGTGTCCTGCAGGGAACCAGTGGCTTCCCTCCTGGAGGGTAACCTTGTTCTCAGGGAAAGCTGGAAGGGCCTGCTCCAGGCCTTCTGAGACTTCCTCTTAAGAGGCTGTGGTAGTCTGAGCTGTCCCCCTTCAGCAGTCCTTGTCACTGCAAGCCCCCAAGATGCCTGGAAGCCATGGCCTACAGTGTAAAGGAAGACTTTCTCAGATCCTCAAGGCCTCTGGGTGCCGGCCTCTCCATCTTCTGACATGTCCCCTTCACAGCCCACCTTACAGCCTGTGTTCTTGAAACCTCCCTCACCCCATACTCCTGGTCTCTGACAAGAATTTTCATGGGACAGAGCTGCAGGCTGCCAGCAGATGCCCTTGCTGGGCAAGTCAGGGAGAGCCACAGGGAACCCAGGATAGGCTTGGGTCTCTGAGGGGTCTGCTTGGCCCAGAGGCTCCCATTCCTGACCATTCAGGCTTAACACTAGCTCAAGAAAACAGACCTTTCCAGGAATAGGAATGCAGCTGCTTTAAGGGCTAGATATCAGTCACATGACCATCTCTCAACAGACAAAGAGAAGGCCTTTGAAAACAGTCAACACTCTTACAATAAAATACTTAAATAGACAAGGACCAAAATGGCATGCAAGAAAAATTCTCTCAATTGGGGTTGGGGAGAAGGCTGCCAGTAAGGTACCTGTTGCACAAGCATGAGAACTCAAGTGTGATCCTTAGTGCCCACATAAAAGCTGGGTGCAATGATATAGGTCTGTAACCCTAGTACTGGGTGGGGGCAAGGGTGGGTGGGGAATGGAGACAGGTCCCTGAAGCTCATTGAATAACCATCCTAGCCAAATTGGGCTTCAGCATGCCATTCGTGAGAGATTCCATCTCACAAAAACAAGGTGATGCTCCTTAGGGTGTCACCCGAGATTGACCTCTGGGCAACACGTATACAACACACAAGCCCATACACACAGTGCAACAACATTGTGGTGAGGAAAACATGCTGCAAAATGCATGAACGTTGAAGAGATGTTAAATAGTCACAGATGCATGATTTGTCAAGAATTTATGTGAAAGTCAAAGCAGGTAAATGAGGGCTGTGAAATGGCTCAGTAGGTGAAGGTGCTTGTCACCAAGCCTGAGCCCTGTGGTGGAGGGAGGAAGGAGGTCCTCCAACTGACCTCCAAGAGCACAATGGCATGAACCCCCTACCCCCAACAAAAAAGGAAGGAACAGGAAATGTACAGATGGAAAATAGATGAGCAGTTACTTTGGGCTGAGGGGGGTTGTGGGGGAGTGGGTACCAGGATAAGGTGCTTCTTGGGTAGTGAAAATGGCCATTGTTGGATTAGTTATAGATACTAGAAACCATCCAGTTGGGGTTGACCAGTTGGCTCCCTGGGTAAAAGGCCCTTGCCACCAAGCCTGACAACTTGAGTTTGGTCCCCAGGACTCATGATAGAACTATTCTTCCACGTTGTCCTCTGACTCTCAACACGTACATTGTTGCACTCACCTCCACCCTAAATAGACAGTACATAAATAAATCTCCAAAACATTGCCTTGTATACTTCCTTTTTTTTCCCAGCCAGGTTGTGGTGGTGCATGCTTTTAATCCTAGTACTGAGGAGACAGAAATAGGTGGATCTACATACAGAGTTCTAGGACAACCAGGGCTACATAAAGACCCTGTCTGGAAAACAAATAAAGCAAAAACACAAAGCCACCCAAATGTGTGCCACAGCACTTAAGTGGAGGCTGGAGGACGACTTGCAGGAGCATTTCCTCTCCCACCATGTGGGTCCCAAGGATTGTACTCAGGTTATTGGCCAGAGAGCCATGAGCCATCTCAGTGCCCCCAAGTTGTATAGTTTAAATGGGTGACCTCTGTGTCTTTATTGGGAGGAACAGCCTGGATCAGGTCAGTACTAGCCTGGCCAGTTCCCCTCCTCTCTCACTTGTCTCTTGCCCCTTGTTTCCCTGGCCCACAACACTTCTGGACCTCTCTGACACCAGGAGAGGTTCCAAGGCCCTGGGACACTGTCTCAGGCTCCTCCAAGCACCCAAGTGAGCTACCCAAACCTGGCCATTTTGGAACCTGTCGACAGGACAGGCTTGAGCATTGGTACACTTGTGGAAATGTCCTGAGCCCCAGAGCCACCAAGTTAGCCCCACAGCTAAGTCCTGAGGTTGGGAGAGCCATCTGGCACCCTGGGCCTTCCCTCTGCTTTTTCTCTTTCCTGCCAGACCACTTCCCAAGGGTGGAGTGGAAGTTACAGGAAGGAAAGGGATGGTTCAGAGTGTGGGGAGCGGGGAGAGAAAAGGCAAGAGTTACATAGGTGGGTGGGAGCTGGTGTCCCACAGCTCTCAGTCTTCATTCAGGAGTCAAGGCCGCCTTGTGACCACTCCCTGTCTCCCTACCCACAGAACCCCACTTGGATGGGGCTTGTTCTTCACCTGCCCCTTATGGTCTGCTGTCCAAGTCACATGGGCACTCAGATCGGGAGCCCTTGAGCAGACATACCCCACCGCACAACCCTGAGGGGCAGGCAGGTACCCTCAGAATCATGCCCTCTGTGGGACGCTGTTGTAAGGGGCAGGAAGAGCCCTGGTGTGCAGTTTCTGGTGAGCTGGACCCCACAGCTTTTCCTTTCCAGAGGGGCTCCAGCCAGGCAGAATCTTGTTTGAGGGCTGGGGACAAGAGGGAGGGCACAGCAGTTACACAGCTGCCTCTTCTCCTGGGAAGACAGTAGGTGCTTTTGCAGTTACTCCTGGACTCTGAAGCTTCAAGAAAGACCCCAAGGGACTAGAAGGGGCCAAGAAGTTCCTGTGAAGGCTATGCGATTTTCTGTTCTTAGGAAGCTAGGCATGTGTGGCCACTAGAACACTGCTGAAGGCAAGACCCCACCCCTACCTCAGCAGAAGAAGCACTCCTGGGGGGTACCGGGCTGATGATACCCAGCAGAGAAGGGAGGACAGGGGAGGGGGTGCAGAGAGCAGGACCTGCTCCAGAAGTTCTGGCTTCTAATTTGGAGGCAGAACCCAGAATGTGCATGTGCATGTGCATGTTTCCAGTCTCACCAGCCCTTGTCTTTGAGTGTCCCCTTCAGAATATGCCAGCCAACAGCAGGGGAGGCAGCAGCAGTCCAGGGAAAGGGCCCCATACTTGACCAGAATTCTGCTTCAAATCCCAGCCAGCCTTTTCAGGGTCCTCTGCACCTGCAGAAAGGAAGGGGCTGTGGCTCATCTTGCAAACGGCCTGACTCTCCATCACTCCATGCAGGGTGCAGGCAGCAGGCAGGGAGGAAGCATCTTCTATGGCACACATGCTTTATGATGCCCTAACCATTGATACCAGCACAGGATACCAACATCTGGAGCCAGGAAGTAAGTAGGGGCTGCGGGCCTTACCTGTCCAGGGTGATTGAAGGGCCAGGGTGTGCCCGCCTGTGGCATTAGCCGAGGCAGAGGCCCTGGGGAAGTTGGGCAGGGATGTGGAGGCAGAGTGGTCCGAGTGGTTCAGTGAGGCCTGTGGCCCACTGCGTTCCTGGTCTGGAAGAACTGGTACCGCCACCTCACTGGAAACAGGCAACTCGGCCTCCACCTCAGGCAACTCAGCCTCAGCCTCTACCTGGGCCTGGGGTAGGACCCCTTCTGTCTGTGTCGGGGACATCTGGGGGTACAGAGATTTCTCTGGGCTCACGGAGGTTGCACTCGACTTGCTGATTTCTTTGTCCGTAGATTTGGGGACAGAGACATGTGGTGATGTGAGAAAGTTAACTGGCCCTTCATCCAGTGAGGGCTGGATGTGCGTAGCGGAAACGGAGGAGACCTCCGTTAGGAAAGATTGAGCCTCTGTTGCCATGGAGGAGGGGCCTTCCGTTGCTAAGGAAGATGGGGCTTTTGTTCCTACTGCAGGTGAGGACTCGGTTGCCAGGGAGCCCGGGACCTTTGTTACCGAGGAGAAATGTAGAGTCTCAGAGGTTGCTAGGGACGGAGTACCGGTTTCCCTGGAGCTTTGGGCTTCAGTTGCCCTGGTGGAAGGGACCTCGGTCACCGGTGGAAGCGAATCCTGCGACTCTTCCGGGTTTCTTGTGGGCTCTGTTTGGCAAGGCTAATCATTAGAGCTGCACCCCACCCGGCCGCACAATGTCCCACCGGGACGCGCAAGCCACACTCCTCTGCAGCGGGTATGCCCCTCTGATAACGTAAATTCTCGTCATTGACACAACCCTCTGGTAACGTGAATTCTCATCATTGATAAAACCTCTCCACCCACCGTCTTCTCTAAGCTTCTCTTAAGGACTGCACTGTAGGCCCCGCCTATTCGGTCACAGACCCTGACCACCAGCCCAAACCTTCCCGCTCAACCACGCCCCCTGGCAAAGCACTGAGGGGGGGGGGCGGCAAAGCCCTTTTTGGGACTGAAGGATGAAATCTGTCACTTGGGGTAACGAGGCGCCAACTGGTGGTGCAGAGAGGGCAGAAAGTCACAGAAGGTCCTTGCCATCGCATCCTGTAGTCACACCTTCTGCTTCTCGAGGTGGGAGTCCTGAGACTCTAGGCCACCTAGGCAGCATCACATTCTCCCAACCCCTTCTCAGCTCTGGCCTGTCACTCACCACAGAGAGAGTTCTCGCAGCTGTAGCCAAGGGGACACTGGGAGCAAGGAGTCCCCTCCTGGTAGGGCTTGCGCCCCTTCACGTTCCCCCTGAAGGAGAAGGTGTTGCTGGAGGGGAAGGTCTGTGCCTTCTTCTCCTACCCAACCATCCCCAGAGGCACAACAGGTCCATCACCAGGAGCCCACGGGGCTGCTACCTCCCACAAGTTGCTTGCTGAGGAACACGGGCTCCCTGACCTCTGGCAAGCCAAATTAGACCTGCCATAGGGCTCTCACAGCTGCCAGAGGGACAGGGCCCACATTACCAAGCCCACAACTTCCTTGAGTTGCACCCTGTTCTGTCCTCTCCCAAGCCGCTGGCCTCTCTGCACTTACGGAGGCTCATAGTTGCACACCAACAAATGGATGTTGGCTTCCTCCACTCCCTGGAGCATCTCACAGAAGTGGGAACCACAGCCAATCTTCTCAGTCTTGCTCCAGACTACCTAAAGGAGGGCAAAACCAGCTGTTTAGCTCTGGGCTGAGTAGCACAGTCTCTTCCCCATGTCGTTAGCTCTACACCAGCCTTTTGTTGGTGGCCTGAAAACACTCTATAGCCTTGGTCTTCCTGAACATGTGTAGTTTCAGGCCAAAACTGCTTGAGTGGCTAGAAGCAGGAGGGAACATTGTTTACCCTCTCCTGCCAAACAAAGACACCAGGCCTCTGATAATACTCTATAACCCCCCCCCCTTTCTAGGGGTTTTTTGTTGCTGTTGTTTTGTTTTTTGAGACAGAGTAGGCTTGGCTGTCCAGCAAGCAACTGGCTTTGTAGAGCAGGTTGGCTGAGAACTCAGAGATCCACCTGCCTCTGTCTTGTGAATGCTGGAATCAAAGGCATATGCCATCACACCTGGCTCTGTCCTTTTTAAACGAGGTTGTAAACAAGGGGCACATGCAAAGGAGCTATAGCAGAGAACTATAGCCACAAGTCCAAGGAAGCATTACTTTGAAGCAAACTTTCTCGTCCCATCTGTCACCTTAGCTAGGGCCCCTCCCGCCCATTTGTTCTGCCTCTTTTGGGGAACAGCCAAGCTGCTAGAATAATTTCTTCTTACATACCAAAAAACCATAACAGTTTTAATCCCAGCACCAGGAGGCAGAGGAAGGCAGATCTCTGTGGGAGTTCCAGGCCAGCCAAGGCTACCTAGTGAGACCCTGTCTCAGCAATAATACAAAAAAATGTGTGCTCTGCCACCAGTGTGAGGTCACCATGCATTCCTCAGGCTCAGATTGTGGGGGTTCTGCTTGCATTCACCGTGGCTCCTGGGGTCCTCTTTGAACAGGTGCATTTCCAGGCTAGGGTAGAGCCAGAGAGAGCTTGGCCAGTCTGGTGAGGGTGAGTGCAGATGTCCCAGTAGGGTGGATGCCCATTGGGACCTCACAACTTCCCAACTTGGGTGGGTGCTTTTGAGTATTTCCTTCAGATTAGGGCTAAAAATAGCAGCTCAGAAGGACACTGAAAATGAGTGTTGTGGGTGGGGCTGTTTCTCCCTGCTTCGGTTTCTGGTGTAATCATTTGTACAATAAATATTGGGAAGAGGAAATGATTCCTTTAATACCAATGGTAAGTTTTTTTTTTTTTTTTTAAATAAACCTTTTTGTTTTTAAAATGGAATCCAGCTCTGTCAGGCTTGGTGGCTACTTCCTTTACCCACTGAACCATCTCACCCTGCCCTCTTAAAGAGTTTTTTTTTTTTTTTTCTAAAGCAAAAATTAAACAAGTTTGTTTACTTTTTGCTTTATCAGCCTGGCAGATTAGAAACAGCAAATTAGATATGAAAAATCCGAAGAGTACTGGGCAGTAGTGGTGCATGCCTTATGCCTTTAATCTCAGCGCTGGGGAGGTAGAAGCCAGTCTGGTCTACAGAGTTCCAGGCCAGCCAAGGCTACACGGGGGTGGGGAGGGTGGGGGGAGGTGAGGAGGAGGGAGAGAGGGGGGGAGAGAGCCTAGAGCAACAGTGGCAGGAAAAGGGCAAAGGAGGGGGAGGGGGCATCTGCTTCAAACGCTTTGGAGCATTCAGAATCTCCTGTCACCCAGGGTAAGCTTTGGACAATTCAGGGTCTTCTGTCGCCCAGGACAATCATTCAGGAAACCTGCGCTGTGAAATGGGTGACCTAGGTTCACTTTTGAAGAGATGAAAATAGTGGGGACAGTTTGAGTGGCCTCCGACTGCGCGCTATCTGCTGTGTAGATCATTATGGAGTGTCTAAGGAGAATAACATTCTAAAGCCCGGCTGCTCCCAACTGGAGCCAAAAAGCTACGAACCTCCCCACATGGTCCAGCACATGGATCCACCCAACACCCGGAGATCCTGCCTTGCCCGCCCTGCCCCCTGACCAGGTGATTCCACCCAACACTAAGCGGTCCCAGCCCGCCCTGACCCACGTGCACCTAAAGTCCAGACCAATCTCATGCACGCACGTGACATCACATCGCTTGAAGCCCTCCCCCTACTTCACGAGGCCCATACCCTAGCCACACACGTGGCCCTACCCCACACCTGGAGGCCCCAGTGTGGCGGTGTCCACACTCAACACCGAGACCCACCCAATCACGTGGTTCATCCAATAAGCAGAGGCCTGTCCAACACCTGGAGGCCAAAGCCCCCACCCCCGCCCCACGCCTGAGCTTGCAGCCCCGCGACGTCCCGCCCGGGGACCTTTCTCCGCCCGGTCCCCGCTCTCCCGCTGGGCCTGTCACCTGAGTGTAGTGGCCACACATCTGACCCGGATCGCAGGTGGCGGTGCTGAGATTATAGTGTTCGCGCTCCTCGTGCCAGTTCTCCACGGCCAGCGGCACGTCCATGCCCTCGTCGGTGATGGCGAACAAGTTCTCTCCGCGCCGCCCACGCTCCTTGTTGTGTCCCCACACGCACTTCTGCGCATAGGCCTTGGCGAAGGCAGCTAGATCGTCGTCCCACCTCTGCAGGGCAGCAAGGGAGAGGGAAGTGTGAGGGTGGTTAGAGTAGGCTGAGGGTGTCCTGGAACCTCAGGAGGCCAGAGACTGGCTTGCCTCACCGCCCCCCCCCCTTGTAAAGCCCCGGCTTTTCTCAGGAATCTGTCCCCCTGGGTTTCAGTAAGATGGAGAGTGCTACCTCAGTCCCTGGGGTTCAAATTTTACCCCTCACAGGATGTGGGGGAGGATTGATGCCGGTTGTGATCTTTGAGTGTTCCATTGGGAGGGGGGGATACTTGGAAGCTGTCCAGAGAGATGCTGGAAGACTGGAGGTTTGTTCTAGTCCATGCATCTAGACAGCAGTGGCGACACTCCACTGCCAAGGCCCTCCCTCCCTCCCTCCTTCCCTCTCTCTCTCCCTCCCTGGCGGGAGCCCTTCTGAAAAGCTCAACTCCCTTCCTGGGCACTCCCACCTCCGTGGCACACTGAGGGTCATTAGGGCCTTGCCTAACCCAAGGCAGTCAAACCCCAGGTCAATGTTCTCCGTGGAGATCACAAGTGAGGCGCCGGAAAGGAGCAGTTTTGCTTAGAGCGCCTCTGAGGTTCTGTCCCTGGCTGGGAGAAGATGGAGAAGTGTGGGAGGAGCAACTAATTGGACATCTGACCCCAAGGACTAAGGAGGAAGGCCTGGATCCCCTTAAACTCTGTCCTTGGCCTTTCCTGGAACCGGATGCCTGCTGTGGCTCTCTTTGGGGGGGTGGGGGCTCCAGCTTTCAGAGCCAAAAAAGGCATCAAGAGCGAGGGTGGCATAGAGAGGTAGGACTGTGTGACCCTGCCCACTTCCCACCCCTCAGTGCTTGTGGGAGCAGCTGCCTGGGGCCTGAACTGGGACGGCCCCACTGGTGTACCCCAGTGAGTCTTCTCTTTCTGGTCATTTTTAAAATTAATCATGTACACACGATTAGGTGTACATATGTGTGTAAATGCAGGTAGACGCCTAGCAGTGCCTGCATGAAGGTCAGAGGACAGCTTTTGGGAGTACATTCTTCTCACAGCCTCTAGAGAGGGAACTTGGGTCATCAGGTTTGATCTGGCAAGTGTGTTTACCTGATGGACACTTGGCCATCCCTGCTCTGTCCATTATTGTTTCACATCACAGGTTTGGGTAGTCCCCTGGACCCTGGCAACAGTGGGCAGTGGGGGAGGCCCCTTCTAGGACTGACAGTAGCATAATTTGTCACAGTGCTGGGTGTTGTGGGTACTTCATAGATAGTTGTCACTTCTTGATGATAGAGACAAGCTCAGAGCAGCCCCAGCTCTAGCCTGCATGCTGAGTTCATGCATGAAGTCTCTTCCAGAAGCCACTGTAGGCTGCTCAGCCTGTGGCATTGCAAGTACCACGATCCTCTGTCCCTGGAAGCAGGTCCATCCACACTGTCATTCAGTAGTCCTGGGCACTGAGCCAGGCTAGAGCAACAGCAGGAACCAAGAAGCCCAAGTCATATGTCACTTGGAGAATGTGACCACTGTGGTCAGTGGCACAGGCCACTGTGTACTGTGAGGCATGGGAGGGCTATGTAGCCAGGCTGAGGGCGGAGAAAGAGATGGGGCTAACTGACAGGGTGCTGGCCAGGTGGGGGGCACCCGAGCACAGTGCACACTGGACAGCCTGGGGTGCAGTGCCTACAAATGGGAAATGGCGACTCTGGACCTCAGCACTGATAACTAGTGTTCAGGCTTCCGGTTTGTGAGCGCTTCCTGGTTGCCGAGGCAACGGGGTTGTGAATGGCTGCAGTGCTATGAGCATTTCTCACAGTCATCTTGTCTGACCTGTAGGGCAGGGATGACCATACCCAACTGCCCATCAGGAAAAGGCTCCCCAAAGAGTCACCAAGCCATAGGGGGCAAGCTGAGGCTGTCACCTAAACGTTGGGACCCCAGCTGACTGTCGCTGTATCAGCTGAAACCAGAGCAGACCTCCTGTCCCAGTCCTGTCACCCGATAACATCCCTTCTGCCTGGTTGGCTGCCGCCACCACCCTGCCCCTGGCTCCTGTTGCCTGCACACTTCTCTCAATGTCATGTAGACAGTTTGTATGTGTGTTATATGTATCTTTTAGATTTCGCTGCATGCAGTCTTACATGTGTGACATTCAGCCTATGTATGTGGGTATGCTTATTACCTCATTTCATAGATGAGAAGCTGACAGTCCACGTGGGTACCGAAGGTGCCCTAAACCTCAGCTTCGGTGCTGGAGACAGCACCTGTGGGCCCTGGAGTCCTTCCCCCACCTCCCTGGCCTGCTCTCCCTCCCCAGCACTTTCCAGGCTCATCCTGCCGCTTACTCTCCTCAGGGACCCTCAGACAACTCACAAGGGCTTTCCCTCCAGGTCCTCACATCTTGGGAAGAGTTGAGGAGGTAGCCATGGGTGTGGGGAGCCAGGGCTTAAGCCCTAGTGCAAGTCCCTGAAGCCTCAGTTTCTTATCTACATGGCGGGGCTGCTTATGCGGACCAGCGTTCTACAGCACAGGGCCTCTGCCCCTGACCTGAGGGAAGGCTCTGAAAGCATCCCCACAAGGAGTAGGTGAGGGAAAGGGCCAAGGCAGGCCATGCCCAGCACCCCTTCCATCCCAGGAGGTGGGCACTCAGCCACACTCACCATCTGCAACATGTCTGAGGCTGGTGGGGACACCTGGGCACGGTAGAAGTTGTGAAGCTCCACCATGGTTTGCTTCTCATCCTCCGTGAGGGCTGAGGTGGGACCAGTGACAAGCAGCAGCAGCAGCAGCTGCAGCGGCAGCGGTGGCAGGGGCAGTGCTGCCCAAAGGCTGCAGGAGCTGTGCATGGTGGCCAGCCCTCTCAGTCTCTCCCGATCAGGGGTCTGGAGGCTGGACTTAAAAGTCCTTCCCACACAAGCACCACCCTGGCTAGGGTGGGGCGGCAGGGGCTGTGTGTGGAGGTCCAGCCCAGCTCACACAATGTCTCCAGGAGGGCTGGGTGCCTTGGGTCTGGACCAGAGTTGAGTCCACTCCCCTGGAGTCCTTGGCAACAGCCTCCTTTCTCTTGGTAATGGGGCGGGGGAGGGCTCAGGCCAGGGGCTGTGAGTTCCAAGGTCCCTTCTGAGGTGTGGACAGGTCCTCAGGGGACAATCTCAGAAACAGCTGCAGCAGAGTTGTGGCTGTGGCACCCAATTCATAACCCACTAGATACTGAGGGCGAGACAAGGAAGGAGCCTTACAGACCCGACCACCCCTCAGGATTGGGTAAGATGAGGAGGTTGCAAGTGCCCTTGAAAGAGCAAGGGAGGATGAGATGATATGTCCAGCTGCCTGGGTCCCTAGGTCCTGCCTACTGTGATGTTTATGGTAGAACTGAGACATGACAGTAATCCTAAGTGCCCCTCCTGGGTCCTCTGCCAGAGCAGCAGCTGAGCCTTCTCTGCAGCTGAGCCTTCCCTGCAGCCCCCGTGCAGCCTTTTAAATAAGATCAAGGATATCCACACAAACAAGAAAGAAGCTGGGGTGAGCTTTTCAGTATGTAGCCCAGGTTAGCCGCTCTCTGACTACTACCCTTCTGCAAGTTCAAGTGTCTTCCTCTCCATTTTCAAAAAGATGTTCTAATGGGGACATGACATGTGGAGTTGAGGTTCCTGGCCAGCCCAGATTTGTGAATACTTGAGGGTGACAGCTTAAGAAGGAATAGAATTTAAGCAGGCACGTATAGAAAGGGCAACAGAAATAGGGGCCGGGAGATGTCTACTCCAAAAGTGGTCTAAAGTAAACTGCGTGAAGAAAGCAATAGCCCACAGGGCCTTGCACTCTGCTGTATGGCATTGCTCTTGCCCCGGTCATCTACGTTGAGCTAGGTCCTTGCTTGCCCTTCACTGCACCACTCCAGCTTCTGCCAGCCGGCACAGGTGTCAGCCTGCTGCAGACTTCTCTCCACATGGCCACCAGGAAATGGTGCCACAAAGGGTGGGTCCTTGGGCTCTGAGCTGAGAAATGGTGATGCACTCCCCAGATGGACTCAGTACAATGGCATTACGAGAGGTGACAGGAGCTCGCAATGTAAGCCTAGATGGCCCAGGACATTCTATCAGCATGCAGGACTGGTCCTGGCAGTGGACGGAGCCTGCCTGTGGCTCTCCCTTTGCTGAGTGAGCATCACCGGGGGCTGCCTCTTCTGACAGGCATGGTCTTTTAATTTAATGATTCTTCTGTTCCAGTGTGTTCCATCCTGGATCTGCTCCTCCAGCTGGTTTTGTCCGCTGTTCTGATTCGTCCTCTGTTGTTTGATGTTTTCGTTCTCTGATACCAATCCCATTTCCTAGTGTTTAGTCCAATCTCCTAGGCTTCTTAAAAAGATGAAGACACTACGTGGGGCAGGGCCTGTCCCTTTCTATAGTATATAGGCCTCAGACTGGGCACTTTGGTGCTGTAGTTTTGTAGAATAATAATTTAGGGTGTGCTGCTTTTGTTTATTCTCTGGAACATTTGTTTAATGATGCAAAGATGTGTTTGATTAAATAAAATTCACCTGCAGTTAGGAGGCTGGGTCAGGAACCAGCTTACAGGAAGTTGTGGGGAGGAGCCAGGTGGAAAAGGGTTTATAAGGAGGGGTGAGCTTCTTGGGAGAAGTGAGGAGGTGAGTTAGGTGAGCTACTTGCTGGTCAGCCTCTCTGGAAAGCAGGATTCTACCTCAACCTTTGAATCTTGAGTTCTTTACTGGGAAAGAGATTTAAATAAGTTTCTTTAGTAGCTTTGAAAGAGTTGGTGCTTGAGGGAACAGAATTCCCTCAGGCTTTGGCTCTTGTGGCTAGGCTGCTGGTATCAGCAGATCTGCAGTTACTGAATAAGATAGCTATAGAATAAAAGGCCGAAACAAAGAAAAACAACACTGTAGTTTGAACATAAATGTCTCCCATAGGCTCATACTTGATCATCAGCTGTTGGTGCTGTTTTGGAAGGTTGTGAAACCATTAGGAGGAAATGGGCCATGTGGGTGGGACTCAGGGCTTTATGGCCAACTCCACCTCCTGACCTCTCTGCTTCTTGCCTGAAGATGTAAAGTGGTGCCTGCCTCCCTGCCATGATGAGTCACTTTCCTTAAACTTTAATCCAAAGCAAACCCTTCAGGTGCTTGTCAGGCATTTGTTACAGTTAGACACAACAAGGTAGTCAGTGTTCAACTGCAGACCAGATGCCCAGCTAGCAGGGATCAAGTGCAGGGCTCTAAGAGTGAGGCCAGAAGTGGCTGTGGCCGACAGGCCAGGCCTGCTCCTCAAGCTGCTTGTGTCCCAAGGGTGCTCACTGAGCCTCCCCAGGAAGGTTGAAAGATTCAGCCCTGGAAGACATTTGTCTTTGTTCTTCAAAGCCAGGCCAGCGGGGAAGGACAACAGTGCTGGAGTCCTTGGGGTCTGAAGGCTCTGCTCGGTGCAGGGCTGTGAGCATCTCCTGGGTGGGGTCTACAGGATTCAGGTTGGCACTGGGCTGTGGGAAGCGTGGACGAGCCAGAGAGGTGGCGAGCAGCAGAAAGGGGCAGCATTAGCAACCCTGGCACAGGCTGAGGCCATAGGCTGCTCCTGGTTGGCCCAGCTCAGGGTCTCAGCTCTGTTCTTGCAGGAAAGGCAGGTCAGAGCCAGGGCAGGACAGCTGTGCTATCCACTGGTGACTTGGAGGACAGTTGTCTACAGAGGAGGGCAGAAGCAAGGCCTGTTCCATCCCCACCCAAAGTCACCCTCTCAGCAAACCAGGAGGGAGGCTTGTATGGAGGTCGCTGGCCCTACTTTGAGAGCTTTTTGAGCGGAGTGCCCTGGTTCTTACATTTCTGTTTTAGTTTGTCTTATTACCTATTATTTAATGTGCATGGGGTGGGGCTTGTACATGTCATGTCACACGTGTGCAGGGCACTTGTAGGGGCTGGTTCTCTCCTATCATGTGGTCTTGGGGATGGAACTCCAGTAGTCAGGCTTGGTGACAGCACCCTCCCCCACTGAGCCATCTCACTGGCCCTTTCCTTGGATTTTGATAATTTTAATTTTTGGTATTTTTTTTCTAGTGGAGGTAAACATAAGGATTTTTTAAAAATGAGAGTGGGGTGGGGAAGGGAACAGGAAAGGGTAGGCAGCTAGGAGAATGTGAGTTCCTGTGTAGGGGACAGTGAAGAATGAAGGAAGGTCAAGGAAGGGGGAGGCTCTAATTGTTCAGCTGGAGACACCTTGATTATCAGGGGGCAAAGATGGTTAGCTGGCAAGTTCTAAGCAGGCTGTATACATGGGTTCTTTTAAAACACGGTGAAGAGGGGCTGGAGAGATGGCTCAGAAGCTAAGAGCCCTGGCTGCTCTTCCAGAGGTCCTAAGTTCAACTCCCAGCAACCACATAGTATCTCACAACCATCTGTAATGGAATCTGGTACCCTCTTCTTGCGGGCATACATTCGGACAGAACACTGTATACATAATACGTTTTAAAAAGAACACTAGCTGATCTTGCGAGGATCCACCCAGCCGTACCTGAGGCACCATTTTGGGTGTGGTCACAGGTGTACAGGTGTGGGGTCAGGGACAGGCTTGCTCTCTCTTGCTCCTGATAGGCTCATGGAGGGCAGCTGGGTGGATCCTTGGAGCAGGGACTGGTAGTGGTCATCTGCACCTGGTGTAAGTGATTTCTCCCCGGATAAAATTATATTAATCTATATTTGAGCCAATCCCATTAATCTTGTGCTGTACACCAGTTGTCTACTTTAGATCCATAAGTTCAATTCCCAGTACCCAAATGACAGCTCATAACCATCTGTAACTCTAGTTCCAGGGTATCTAATGCCCTCGTCTGAATTCTGTAGGCACCAGGCAGGCAAAACACTCATACCCATAAGTCTAAAAATAAATAAAAAAACTTGAGTGGCAAGTACTGGGTACGGAGTTTGGAATGTACCCATATTCCACAGAAGCAACACGTCCAGCCTGGGCTACCACAGGAAGCACAAGTCCTTTCAAAGAAAGGGTATGGGGGCTGGGTATGGGGCTTGGAACAGCCTGTGTTTAGCACATTCTAACCTAGGGCCAAAAATATTAAAAATAGATAAATGAATAAGGAAAGAAGGAAGATGGTAAACAGAAAGTGGGCAGAGAGGAGATGGGAGAAAGGAAAAAAGAGAGGGAGGGAGGGACCGAGGGTGGGAGAGACTGAAAGACAAAAACAAAGGAAAAGGGCAGTCGTGGGTGATGGAGGGAACGCGGTCTTGCAGAAACAGGACACTCCCTGCAGCCCTCTGAGTTACAGGATGAAATGACAGGGATTCAAGAGAGCAGGGCTCAAAGATGAAACAAGAAGAAAGTGAAAAGGTCACACTGAGGGAACTTCACTGGGCTGGAGCAGGGGCACAGTAAGAAATTAATAGGCACAGCTGGGAAAACAGTGTTTTGTTTTTTCAAGACATTGATTCTCCGTGTAGCCTTGGCTATCCTGGAGTTGACTCTGTAGACCAGGCTGACCTCAAACTCAGAGATTCACCAATCTCTGTCTCCCAAAGAGCTAGGATTAAAGGTGTGTGCCATTACCACCTGACAGGGAAAACCATTTAAATAGAAGGCTTGACATAGTCACAGCAAATGAATTTTCTTAAAGGCCAGAGTTAAAATACAGAGAATGGGTGTAGATAGACTCAAAAGCAAAAGTCCTCACACAGTTAAAATAAAGCCTTTATCCCAGAACTCAGGAGGCAAAGACAGGTGGATGGATCTCTGAGTTTGAGGCCAGCCTGGTCTACAGAGTGATTTCTAGGACAGCCAGGACTACAAAGAAAAGCCTGTCTTGAAAACAAAACAGAACAAAAAAAAAAAAAAAAAAAAAAAAACCTAAA